CAAGATAAATAAAAAAAAAAAATGAAATATTTACTTCCCAAATTTTAATGTCCAAATAAACGTTTCGTCTTTTAATGTAAATAAAATTATTTATTAAAAAATTTCAATATAATAACAAAAATAAAACACACGATAATTTGTTCTTAGAGAATAAAAGGCGGTCACATGAAGCGACAGCGGGAATGTTCAAGAGTCCTCCTGGGAGAACCAACAAATTAGCTATGGGAGATTTCGGGTGGTCGGGGATAACTGACGAGCACGGACGCTGCCGACTGTTGCATGGAGAGACTCGCCATCGCGGTCACTGTATCTTTATCCTCCTTCTCGTTGCGTAATGCGTCGTTAAAGGAACATGTGGCCGTTTTCGCAATTTCCTGTAAACATGGCCAATGCATAGACTGTATTCCGATGACCTTTTGAATAACGGCAACGGCATTAGGACATGGAGGTCGCGTTAATTCCGTGGCACTAATGGGAGATGGCGCGTCTCCTAAAAGCACGCGGACACATTCTTCGGCTGAGTCGCAAATTGATGCTAGATGGTAGCCGCCTTCAAGAGCGAGGACAACGCGACCGTTCGCCACTTGCATAAGTTGACGAGTCATGTATCCAAAACAAGCAGGAGAAACACGATATCCGCCCAGCGGAGGTGTGTGCCCTTCGGTAGCGTCAAAACCCGCCGATACGAGGACGATGTCAGGGCCGAATTCTCTTGCAATAGGCATCACGATGCTCCGGAACGCGGCCAAGTATTCGGCGTCACCGAGGGGTGGATTCAGGCCACCCGACCATGCTATGTTCACATTGAAACCGAGACCAGCGCCAGCGCCGCACTCTGCAGGACTCCCGGTGCCCGGAAAAAAGTTACCGTCGTCGTGCCGATGCATCGATATGACAAGTACGCGTGGATCATCGTAAAAAACTTCCTGTGTCCCGTTACCATGATGTACGTCCCAGTCGAAGATGAGTATTTTGTGGACGCGATGTTCTTTCTGAAGCATGCGAGCTGCGATGGCGATCGAGTTAAAGAAACAAAAACCCATAGCTTGCTGGGGCTCTGCGTGATGACCGGGTGGACGTACGATCGCAAAACCGTTCCTTATGTCTCCAGTCCACGTACGGAAAGCCAGATCTATGGTACATCCGACGGCCATTCGAGCTGCTGGGGCCGTATACACTTCGTTCCATGTGGTGTCCGAATCGACACCAATACCACCGCACGGTAATCTGACGAACGCGGTCACAGGCAACGTTCCCAATTTGCTGATGTCCATTTTGTACCTGTTCACAGGACTTGTACCATAAAGTAGTACGTGGGCTTCCGAATGGCACGACTGTAATTCCTGGGTGGATGCTTTACGTGGTCGCAGCCGGTCGCAACGTTGCACCAACCCGGTTTCCAATAATCTTGCCCAAATGCTCTGAAGACGGCCCGCGTGTTCGGGGTGCAAAACGTTGTTACCACAAATGCACGCGTGTTTCAACATTTGACTATCGAAAGCGAGGCCGGTTGTAGGAGTACTCGAGGCACGGCGTCGGGTTATTGTTGGCGGTCCGGGTGCTCCGAGATGTACCACCGGGCTGCTCAACGCACGAGACAGCGGTCGTATACTGTAATGAAAACTGATGTTATTAATCAATTATTTCGATTCCCACGAAGATCACTTTAACTTTGGGGCTGTGTCTGTAAAAAATATACGTGCCCAGCGTTTCATTTTAATTGTACAATATTATATGATTAGGACATATGTAATTAAACAGCAGTCACAATTATATATAATTAGCCATTATACCGTTTGTTTTATTTAATAATTAATTGGTGTCGGCGTTAAAAAAGTTGTNAAACATATCACTAAACTTTAACAGAAAAAAATTGATGTCCATGACTAATTTAATTTAGCTTGATTCTATTTTTAGAAACCAACATCCCCTGATACTATGATAAAATCAATACACTGGGGTTGTATGCCGCCTCCTTTGCTGCTGCTGTTGTAGGTAGGATTGATAACACGTATACCTATCCCCATTTCACTCGCCCACCCTTTTCGTCGGGAGAACTAAATACGATTGTCTAAAAATAACTCTTGGATTCCGGCAACCGACAACCTACTTTCTCCCGATTCCCAAACCGCCCTGCTTTTAATAATAAAAAAAAATAGGAAGAAAGAGAAATGTAAAAGCGTGGCTATACTTAGGCAAGAGATTCTAAATATAACTCGGAATTTCGTTTGAATAAATTAAAAAGTCTGCACGGGGCATAGTACGCGAAGGGTGCGTAGGCAGGGTGCCAATGCTAAATAATACTCCCTTTCGAGGGAGATTACACAAGGAATATTATTTTATTATAACGTGCTGAATCAGGTCAACCGTCCGGTGACGATCAAGAAAATATTCAGCCTAAAAATAACAAGAAATTGGTACAACCAGGGCCTCCGAAAGGGAGGAGTAGAAATGACGGGAATCTCTTTTGCCCGGGGTTTTGGAAGGGCTCAAAAATTTGAAACATGTACAACTGTCTAATTTCTTTTTTATCAAGTACTTCATTGTTATTTTGGCTACCTTCTACAGGTATACGTGTATATAAAAACATTTTTTGGTGTTTTATCCTACCTGCACTGTAATGAAAAGCCGGAGGGTAAGGCGGAAGGATCTCTTCAGGTTTTTTTTCCAAATTTATATGGGACCAACTTCGGAGTATACTTTTTCCAATAAAAAAAGAATTATCAAAATCGGGCTATTCTGTCAAACGTTATGCCTGATCATTAAATAAGATGTAGTCAATTAGGCTCGAGATCTACAACAGTAGTAGTAATATATTTTATCCAATTTATTTACTTGAATTGTTTGGCTAAGGATCATGAATAGATTACATTCCTTGTAAATGGATTGTACAGGTACAGAAGAACACATGTAGCTATCGTGTTAATTTATTGAATTTTAACAGGTCAGCTGAATTAGTGTTTAGCATTGAATATAGACCTAAGTGAATCATACCTTTTATTGATCTTCAAAATACTATATGTATATCCATTAAGCAATTAAGCCAACGAAGTGAAAATGTTTTTTACACAATGATTCAAAAAAATATTATTTTTGCGTTACGAATATTTTAAATTTAATTCTTCCTTGCAATTTTTCTATCAATAACTTGACTAAGGAAATTAAATTATAAAACAGTACATTTTTGGTAAGCATGTTAATGAGCCATTTGGGATAGAATATGTAATTCATTTTAATACTTTTAATTCAAGTTAGAATTTGTTTCCTTCATTTAATTACTGTCCGGTTATTATGGATTTAACGAAATGAGAAACAAAACATTTAAAAAAATATTGAAAGCGCAAATAATGTGACGCAATGTCTCTAAAAATGGAAAAATTATTCAGTACCATTCGCCGACATGTCCATTCCATTATCTTGCAGATAATGTACATAAACCATGGTTACGACCTTCGAGACATTATTATTATATGGAATATATACGTATATATGTCTGTACTGTACATTAAATAAAAGTAAATTAAATGGGGAATAATTACAATTGAAGTATTAATTGTGTCTTTTCCTCATTTAATTTAATATATACGAATGTCTGTACTGTACATTAAATAAAAGTAAATTAAATGAGGAATAATTACAATTGAAGTATTAATTGTGTCTTTTCTTTAAAATCCCCTGTTTGTACTGCATCCAAATGGTGAGTTTTTTAATACGTTTTTCCTGGAAAACATTATTAAAACCAAAGTAGGAAATGAAGAGGATTAAAATCATCAAACTTTTTTGGTGCTGGTTCTGGTTACATCGGTGATACATTTGGGCTTGATGACAGTGGTCTAGGACAGGTAAGAACACCGATGGAATCGTTTTTATCAGACGTTGCGCCAAGTGCTAAGACTGGCAACTTCAGGGAATAAAGCATGAGCGTAAGTCCTTCACTTCGGTATTCTCACTCAAGAAGTAGGATTGATCTTAGATCACGGTCAACAAGTACTGTTCAAGGTTTTTATCCTTTAATCGATTATCATTTTTATCATGACAGTTTGTACAAAATACAAGACATCCGATTCGTTATTTTGCCTTTTCGAGGGGCAAGTTTTCACCTAATTTGTAGGTCGCTTACCTCCGAGGTTCCGTTCCCTGAACTTCTGCGTCTCTCTGCTCGTTTTCTTCAGGTGGTACAGGAGCAGGTTGTATAGCAAGTGTTTGCGGCGGTACTGCAGCTCCACCTTCCAAAAGCGGATGCCCAAGTGGTAGTGGTGACGATTGCGTGCGTCCCAGGGGGCGGATTACACCCCGCGGAACCGCCGTCGTTGGTTCTTGCAGCTCGCTGATAGTATCCAGGGGCGCGTTGTCCTCGTGTTCGCTATCTATAGCTGGTAACGAAGGATAAAAGGGCAAGGTACCGGGCAACATCTGACCTGTCAGGGGCATTCCGAGACGGGCAGTACAGGCCGCCCGAACTGCCGCCTCCGACAGATCGGGCGGACTGAGTACGTGATGGGCTGCCAACGAGATGTTCGGCATCGAGGGTGAACTGAAGAGAACGTGACCTTGACAATTATCAGAGCCGGGATCGTAACACGGCGGACTGAATTCTTTGGGCGGTTCTTGGGGCGGCGACTCGCTAGGTGGCATACACGTGCTCAACAGCTTCTTCTTCAGCGACGGCGGCAGATGACGTTTGCTCATTGGACTACAGCGTCGTTCCATAACCCGCTGTTTTAAACGCACTTTCAGCAAATTTGGCTCAGATGCTGAAACAAAATATTGCATCATACTAACAAAGTAAGATTTGTTATTTAAAAAAGAGATCATTACGCACACAGGGAGAATTGGAAGCGGAGGGGTAATTTTCCTTTTGTTGACAAATGATGATAAACGGTTGAAATTCATCTTTTTTTTTAGTTAAAGACAGTTGTTTTAATTCTACTATTTCCCATACGTTCATATATTTAACTAACGTAAAAAAATAAAATTGTATTTACTTAACAAATACAAACATAAAAACGATCCTTAAGTGTTATATTCTGGAGTTAGGGGTGTAATTTTTTGCTCTATCTTATTCCAGGAGCAGAGAGGTCCACAATCACTGAAAATATGCTTACGTAATACTTGATTGATTCCCTAAGTTATGCTACATATTGACCAATTTCTAATTAATAAGTACCTATTAGGTTTTCAGATTTCTGAAAATTTCTTCCCGACTTTTCGCTTGTAATTGTGGTGGGTATTATTCTAAACCATCGCTTTTTATTTCTATACCCTCGACATTTTTCTAAGAAATAACCTTTGTATTTTCGAATATGCAGGATATTATAATGATTTAAGGGAAAATTTTTCCTTTCAAAAAAATTACTGAAAAGTCTTTTTAAATGAAACCTAATAATAATTAGTTAGCCTCTACAGTAAACCCCCTAATGCTGTAATACCTTATGGAATATTACTGACTCTAGACGTTTCTGTAGCTTCTTGAGAAGAAGCTTCTCCAAATTAAAAATAATTGAAAATTATTTGAGATCGAGTATGGATCAAAATACACTCAGCGGATTGGCATTCGTTTCAATAGAAAATGAGGTTCTACATTTGCAGAAATTAAAGCTAGAAAAACTATTCTGTTGAATCGTACGACACATGTTGTGATTGTAGATATTAGGTACATTTGCATAAATAAAAAATTCAAAAAAAGATGTTTTTTATACCTGTATTTTTAAAGGCGGCCTTAACTTTCGAGACGAACCTGGCCCTTCGTGCCTGAGAAAGTGTCCTACCAAGCTATCCCCCCTATTTCTTATTGACTTCCTTAGAGTCCTCTATTCTCCTATTCTTCCTAATATATCTTCGTTTCTAACCTTGTCTATCCACGGGATCCTCATCATTCGTCTGTAACACCACATTTCGAACGCTTCTAACTTTTTCTTTTTCGCAGCGCCCACCGTCTATGTTTCGCGTATAGCGCCGCGCTCCAAACATACACCTTTAACAATGTTTTTCGAATTTTTAAATTAATCGTTTGCGAGTATAAGTGACTTCTTTTTGTTAAATGCTACACTACTGATCCTTCCAACTTGACTTATCTGACTTCTTATTAGATACCAGCCATTTCTTCTAATTTTTCGTCTTCTATCTTTATATCCCTACTTTTTCTATCCTTACATACTAGTATTTTTATTTTACTTTTATTTATTTTCATAAAATACTGTTTTGTCAATATCGCTTCCATTATTTTGAGGATACTAATCCATCCCTCTAAAGCCGTCCTAATGATGGTAATCGCGTACTCGATACATACATACATACATATATTAAAAAGTAGCGGTGACAGTGTGTAACTTTGTCTGTCTTCCTTCCTAATATTTTTTTCTCTACGTTGCTGGTTAAGTTTTACAACAGCTTGTTGCCTTTATACAAACTTCTAATCTCTGTATATCACCCCTACATTTTTAAATATATTTTTGTACCATTTAACATTATCAAAAGCTTTTTTTAAATCTACGAATCTTTTGCACCCGCTCTTCCGTTTTTCTATTGTTTTCCCTATTATTACCTTAAAGCTAAAATGGCCTCCCACATTCCCCTATATCCTCTAAACCCAATATGTCTTTACCTAGTAGTTCTTCCGTCCTTTTTTCAATATTTTTTCTATACGGTTCTAGTTAAGATTTTTGAAGCATGGGAAGTTAAGCTAATTATTCTAAATTTGTTGCATCTATCCGCTCCTCTTTTTCTTTATATGGCTACTACTACGTTCCGTTTATAGTCCTCCGGGACTTTCCTCGTCTAGTATATATCTTACAGATAGACAAATTAATTTTCTTTAAGTAGATTTGAATTCTAAAGTATGCCTTGACGCCAACAAAGGCTTATCGCTATTCAATTGCTTTGTAAATCATTCAAATACCTTCTCACTTTTTCATTCTCCTATCATTTTCAGTTTATTTATTAATCACATCGAAATATAGTATCTGTTTACATATAACCTATACTTTATTGATCTTAAATTAACACTGTATTTTCAAACAAAAATGAAATTCAGAGGTTTAATAAAATAAATTGACTGAGTGATGATCAACGCATAGATAGAGAAAAATTATGGGTCGATTTGAGTGAAACTTTCATATTCTGTCTGTTAGGTACATATAAGGACGTACAAAGAACGGATTTTGCAAAAATCATATTCTGAAAGGTTGGAAAAAAACAAAAAATTTAAAATTTTCTATGACTGACCGATGTTCTTCGATTTTCCATTAAAATTGTAGTTTATTAACTTATGATAAGAGGTATTAAATGTTGACTATAAATGTATATTGCGGGTGATGCAACGATGGGTGAGTAATCTTTAAATGAGTTTTAAATTGATAATTATAGTGACACTAGGTTTTCTTTTGCAATGCATTACAAATTTTCTTCAGTTGCACATCAAATAACATTTCTAAATTATTGATGCCAAAATATTACGTAAAATTTAAAAAAAAATCACAAAAATGTATTTCAGTATGTTTCATTGGTTTTCAATATTTATATTTTAGTTTACTTTACAGGTAACGTAAAACGTCGTCGAACAGAGAAATTACATAATTCCTTGTTGGTATTTTTTTTTTAAGTGGAACTTCTTTACGCACGCTAGGGTAAGTTCGTTTCATGCGAGTGGCTATGTAACGAAATCATGCAACGGATGTCCTCCTCTATACGGCCACGTAGTCGAGTTCGAAGTGGGGATCACTTGAGCCGTGAGCGCGCTTCAATGCAACGTTCGTTACAGGCAACTCCGGCATGTATAGTGTAAAATTTAAATTCATAGTGTACAAATAATAACATTAAACCAATTCCTTAACCCCCATCTCGGTATGTTTGTGTGTTTGAAGAAGTTTCACTTCAGTAGCGTGTTGTATAATTACACGTTGTATTTTTTTAGTACATAATTATGTTAATTTAGTAAATATACGTAGTTACTTTTAAAGAACGATAGGCATCAAAAATTTGAACGTATTCAAAACGTATGTTATCATTTCTCTGTTTTCGAAACGCTCTATTTGTAACAATTTCGGCAAATATAAAAGTTCATGTTGTAACACCAATGAAGAGGTATTGATAAGATAGGAGTTCGTTTAATGTAAACAAAAACTTATAATAAAAGTTTTCCCGGAGTAAATATAATACATATAATTTTCAGAGAAAACCAAATGTTTTTTTAACACTACATTACCCAACTTAAAATGAGTTGAATTTTTCAGTCATACAGTATTTTTTTTAAATATGTATATACCTATCTTAATTGCATTCACTATTTAATTAGTTAACTAATCAACGGTGCAACTAAATATTTTTATTACATGTTTAACTGCAAAATTAATTCTTATCTAATTAAGAGAGATGTTCGACTTTTATCATTAATTTTCTAAGAGAAAAGTATCTTTCAGACAGAATTGTACGGAATTTTTTCTAATTAAGGTTCTTATGATATGGTGTTCAAGGACCGAAAGTGGTTTGTCACATGATTTCGTTTAATCATTTGATCCTTTATGTCACTAGGAAAATGTCAAAAAATATTTTACGTACCTGTTTTTCTTAAGGGAAAATCACTAGCTGTAGATGACTGGTCATTGTTGCTTTCAGTTTCCATCCTCTCGGACCTGGAACAAATAAAAAAAATTGATTAAAAAAATATTACTGTACTTATAAACGTCCTACAAAAAATAACAGGGCTTTTCATGCGTCCACATGCAATTAAAAATTAAAACACAGAATTTAAGGGTCGATTGAAATTATGACTATTTCATAGAGTTTTTAATATAATAATGAATAATATGTAAAAATTTTAAAATAAAAAAAGCACTCCTACATTTGTGATTTCGTAAACAATAGTAAAGGAATTT